TCCTGGCTTTGGTCCAGGGGCGCGAGGGCCCCGCCGCCCGCAGCAGGTGCGTAGCTTTGCGGAACGAGTCCCATCGGATCGGCGTTCCTGGTCAGTTACCCAGTAGGAGCTTTTCTCCTTTTCTGAGACAATCATTCCCAAACGTTTGCTCTCACAGCTCCTCGTGACCACAGACCCTGCTGTGGCGGCCGTGTGTCCCTGTGGTGAGCAAACTGCGGCTCGCGAACCACATGCGGCTCTTTGGCCCCTTGGGTGTGGCTCTTCCTAAGCCTTAGGAGTACCCTAATTAAGTTAATAACAGTGTACCTAGCTATATAGTTTAAGTTTAAAAAATTTGGCTCTCAAAAGAAATTTCAATGGTTGTACTGTTGATATTTGGCTCTGTTGACTGATGAGTTTGCCGACCACTGGTCTAGGCCAGACGTCCGGGTGAATTCGGCGGCTGGGACGGGGGCTACGGAGGAGAAGCCACCGCTTAAGAGAAGGAACCTCTTGTCCTTCTCTGACTGGCTTATGTCACTCAGCACAAGAGCAGGACCAAGGCCATCTGAACAGACTAGAAACAGACTCACAGACACAGCACAGACGGACAGCTGTCGGAGGGGAGCGGGTGGGCTGCATGAGAAGGTGGAGGGATGAAGCAGGACACCTGGGGACGGACGGCAGGAGAGCCACGACGCAGACTGCAGCCCCGGGAGCACGGTCCCTGGCACGAGGTGACGGTGTGGGCCGGTGGGGGAAGCGGCAGGGGCCGCTCTGAGCAGTGGTTTTCTAACCGCTGTGCCGCACACCTGAGGCCGACCGGGAGCAAGACTGCTGAGAGGGGCCTCTGACCGCTCACACGCCTCCTCCTCACTGTGCGCAGGCCCGAGGTCTGCGGGGCTCAGCGGGGACTCCGGACGCGGGGGGCGGCTTTCCCACGCCCCTGCTCGGGACCTGACCGCACCGTGGTAAAGGGCCACAGCTTGAGCCACAGCTGAGGTTCGTCTCATTAGAACAGGTGTGCAACCACCTGCCAGCAGGCAGCGGGGAGGCCCTGTGCGCCTGGCGGGCTAAGCCT